CTAAATACTATAATGAGATGGGATTTTCTCTCCTTGCTCCCATCTGATAGCGATGTACATGTTAGCAGTCCAGATTTGATATTAGTCAGAAATAAGGACCAAGGAAGACAGTGACATTTCCTTCCAGTTAATTATTCATTAGATGGCTACCTATAAATCCTAAATCTGGCTTGAAATTCAAAAGGTTGATTATAGACGGAAGTTTATACAGATGTATATTAACCTATATATTACATATGTAATATAAATCTAATATTATGCAAATGAGTAGGCTTTTCAGAAGACAAATTATGTAGGGAGATAAAAGGTTAATGTTTATTTGCCAACATTCATTAATTTTAGGTATTCCCATGACTGCATCTTAATTGCATTCATACAATTGATATTACATCCAATCTGATTCTATAACATCTTAGGAGATTTTATAATAAACAGTAATTCATAGTAGTTGGTTGACAGCGACGAAAGATAGTTGGTTATTTTTTAAAAATAACCAATATACTTCTATATTGCTTCCAATACAATTACAATTCAAGGTGATTTATACTACAAATTAATAGAATAAAATAATTAAAACAATAGTTAAAGAATGCAAAATATTCATTTGAAAAGTGGTATAAAAACTATTCAGATTTGAACAGGTGCTTTAGGAAATAGCATTCTAAAGTATGAGGCCTCAACATAGTGTTCACTTAAGATCTGCTTCTATCATATTGTCTTGTTAATGTAAGAACTGCCATAAAAGGTTCTGTTTTCTCCTTTCATACTTCTCCCCCCCCCCCCAAGAAATACTTCCTGAAACCATAGAGCTGAGTAAGGCAGAGATGGTATCCCTCTAAGAATGTAAATTATTATAAAAGTGATTAATACAGTCTTAAACAATCCGCTATCTTGCTAATATATGTGGTTTTTACCTCATAAGAATTCCAATCCAAACTGGAATTGACAATGCTAGTACTGTAGGGAATTCTGGTAGTAAATATGTATAGAGGCCAAGTTGGGGAAGAATAGATTTTAAATACTTACACAACTATTAAGAATTTTGTAAATCGTTTTCCAGCTGTTAAGTAGATCTGAGGCCTTTTATACTTACTTGCGCTCAATTTCTATTTGTACTCATCCAGATATAAATTTTACATAAGTAACTTGTCTTTATAGTCATAACAACAGCAACAAAACAAAATGGAAAAAAATGTTTATCTTGACTGTGTTTATACGTAGAAGATGTATCACTTGAGCATTGTATAATTCATTACCAGGATAGCTTTATAAAAGTTTTTATATATATATCTAGACCATTTTGGAAGTTATTGTATACCAAACAACTTTTGGTACAGATTACTTATTGGATCATTTTAAGAGTCTGGAGGTCCCTAGTCTGTACTCAGCTGATTGAATCTGGGTTAAATTTCTAATAAAGATATTCTGATAGGCCTCAGCTTTTACTTTCCAACTTTGTATGTCAGCAGAAACATCTGCAGAAGGAATTTAAGTACAATATTTGAATGAGGATATGGACTCTTGTGTAGTTGAGGACTGTTTTAATGCAGGATTCCTCATTTTTGACACAAGTATAAACATGCTAGATGAATTTACTTAAAATTCCATGTAACCTATAGTTCAGAATGAAGTTGGAGGTGATGGTGATGTATGTAGAGGGTGTCAACTTATTCTCCAAAGCACCTGAAGGCAGGATAAGAAGCAATGGATGGAAACTAATCAAGGAGAGATCTAACCTAGAAATAAGGGGAAATTTCTTGACAATTAGATCAATCATTGGAATGGCTTGCCTTCAAAAGCTATGGGTGCTCCCACACTGGAGGTTTTTAAGAAGAGATTGAACAGCCATTTATCTGAAATAGTATAGGGCACGGGTGTCAAACTCGCGATGCCACGTGACGTGTCACAAAGTATTGTGACTTTTTTCCCATTGCTGGCAATGGGGTTGGCGCGGTTTTTGCGTGACACATCTGGCCCGCAGGGCGGCAGTTTGACACCCTGGTATAGGGTCTCCTGCTTGAGCAGGGGGTTGGACTAGAAGACCTCCAAGATCCCTTCCAATGCTATTATTCTATTCTATTCCACATTTGAAGGTAAATAAAAAGTCCTTTAATAGAGGTAGTCCTTGACTAACAACAGTTCATTTAATGACTATGTGAAGTTACAACACTAAAAGAAGTGACTTATGACCATTTTTTACACTTATGACCATTGTAGCATTCCCATGGACACATGATCAAAATTCAGATGCTTCACAACTGACTCATATTTATGACAGTTGCAGTATCCTAGGATCATGTGATCACCATTTACAACCTTCTGATAAGTAAAGTCAATGGGGAGGCCAGATTCACTTAACAACCATATTACTAACTTAACAACTGCAGTGTTTTGCTTAACATATGTGACAACAAAAGTCATAAAATGGGACAAAACTTACTTAACAAATGTTTTGTTTAGGAACAGAATTTTTGGGCTCAATTGTGGTCAAAATCTAGGATGACTTGTATCAGATTTCAACAATCGTTGATTGGCTTCTAACTCAATGCTTTTAATGATTTGCTAGTCCTATTTCAGGAAATAGCAGACAATATTAATAAATTGTATTGCATTTATTAACACAAAGTCTCCCTGCATTTCCCACAGATAACTCTTAATTTCTTTTTGTTTAAAAATACTTTCCTCTTGTTCTAGATCTAAAGTAAGGATTAGCAAGGCTTTAATTGCTTGCCCATTTGCCATGGATTAGGAAAAACTAGAAAGCTAGATGAATAATTCTGATTTAGATCTCCTGACATGATGGTTTTCCACCTGCAGAATTTTCCTTATGTATTAATCTTTTAAAGTAGTACAGACACAAGCAATTTCAATAGTGATGAAGTCTTCAATTAGAGAAGTGGACAGGGAAAAAGCATTAGAATGCTGCTGTGATAATACTTTAATTAGGTAGAAAATGTCCTCTAATAAATAGTTATTAAATACATAAACTACAATAACTGAAGAGACTTCCAGTGGTTCCCTTCTTTACAATAATAATGATAACAATTTCATTTAAAAGATCTTGCCTTCTTTATTTTTATGGTCAGAATCAGTATAGCAAGCAGGTAGAGCAATTGTATCATTCCCTACAAACTCTAGTCACAGCTATTGCCACAGTATATATGACTTACCATATTTTGTCCAGATAAGCGGTTTCACTTTAAGATAACCTGTTTTTGGAGGCAGTAGAACAGGCGTCACAGTTACTATCCAAGACAGATTTCATTATTTTTTAAAGCTTTGCCATGCTAATAATTTACATTAGCTGGAATGTACATTCAGATGAAAAATATTTATCTCATAGTGTCAGTTGTGCAACTACCATATATATCACTTACATGGAATTATAATACCAAAATAGAATCTTCTCTAACATATGCTTATAGAAGAAAACTAAATACTAGATTAGGTAAAGCAGTGGTTCCCAACCTTTTCTATACCCTGCACCCCTAGAATGCTCCTTATATATTCTCGCACCCCTTTCAAAAATTGAAAATAACGGCAACGAATTATGCATATACACTATAATTTTGAAAACCCAAGTTTTTGCACCCCTGGAATATCATCTTGTGCCCCCCAGGGTACAATCAAATGCAGTAGTCATTTAAAGCTAGTGAGCACCCCTGGTTGGTAACCCCTGAGGTAAAGGATGCAACTAGATTTCATGTATAAAACCTGTGATTACAGTGTCTCATAATTCTAACTATTTTCCTGCACAATCTTCCTAGCTAGGTAATTCTCAGAAATTATTTGCTTTGTGGGAAACATGTTATAACTAGGGAAAATGAATACTATGCATTGGGAACAGGGGTATTAAACTCAATTTCATTGAGGGCCGCATCAGCATTGTGGTTGCCCTCAGGGGGGGCGGGTCACGGTGGGTGCAGCCTACTGGGTGGGCGTGGATGGAGTGGATGTGGCCTACTGGGTGGGCATGGCCAACTACATCGTTCGCGTCAAGGTTGCCTGTCGGGGCCTGGGCAGGAGTGGGTCAGATCTGAGGGTCTCTGGCAGAAGGGGGTGGGACCGGGGCAAGCACCAATTCCATTTCTTCATTCCTCACAAAGGGTGACACTTCCCCAGCATGCACCCAGGGGGCGGGGCCAACGCGGCAGGGGCTGGTTCTTCTAGACAGCCTTGTGGAGCTAAGACTGAATGCGTTTCAGCATAGATGGCCACCACAAAATTGTACATTGGCTCCCGGCCTGCTTGGGCCAGGGCCAAGGCAGTGGGGGCCATTCCCTCACTATTTCCAGGATGGCTTCGCAGGCCATATGAAACCAGTTCATGGGCCGCATCCGGCCCCCGGGCCTTGTGTTTGACATGTCTGCATTAGAATATTAGCTGATTTAAATCAATATTTTCTGCACCATTTTTTCAACACAACATCAAGAATTCTAAGCTTGGCTAGTTGTGACTAGGTTAAGCAAGGTTGGCCTATATAGACTGGAAGCGGTTATCCAGGATTCCAGATGGAGATTTTTTTCCAAGTTTCTCTGCAATACTAAACCCTGAACTTGATGTTGCAATACTGAACTCTAAGAAGCTGGTTAAATATTTGCCAACAAAGCAAAATCAGCTTTAGGATGCCTATTGTAATAGGAGAAAACTTAGTGGATAGAATCCTTTCGAGACATTATTTTCTTGATTTGATTCCCACTTAACTATATATTGTATATATCGTGTATATGGTAAATCCTTGTGACTAGATCCACCACATCTCCTTGGGCTTTGTTTTTACAGAAAGATTTGAATCAAATGCAGTAGTCATTTAAAGCTAGTGACAATGATAGAAAAGTGTCAACACCTACACAGATAATGACATAATGAGCCTCTGATCTTTCACAGTTGCATCTTATATGTCAAATGCTAGTATATAAGTTGCAAAGTTTGTATTGTGATGTCATGGCACTTGTCATACTTGTTGCCCTCATGGATGTTTCTGATGCCCACATTCACTTAAACATCTCAGAGTAGCTAAAGTACTCATTTAAAATCATGTGACTTCAGAGCAGCTTCATAAATGTAAGGTACCATAGTTTTGTCTTTGGAATTCTGGATACTCCAACTACTATGTTTCCTTATTATTATTTCCAGAACTAATTACATTTATAAAAGTAGACACAGTAAAAATATTGCAATACAGTTGTCGTCTGTAAGACAACTGCTGTCCTTCATTGGCTTAAAGCATATGTTTTGGCAGTGCAATAGAGCTCTGTGCTAAGGAAGCTATACAGAAGTCCAGTTGTTGGGAAATTTTAATTATTTGCAAGCAGGTAGGCAAGGAAGGGAGGGAGGAAAGAAGGAAGGGTTTCCAATGCTGCTAGCTTCCACAAGAAAATTCAACAGGGAAGCCAACAGGAAGTTGGAAATTGCTCCCACTAAATGATTTTTTGCCTGACTATGGTCAGTCTGTTTTTTCAGTTTAAGATAAATGTATATGTCTGAAACAATAATCCAATGGGTCACAGGCTGTCTAGTATCCTATTAAAATTGGTTGCTGTTTAGAAGACCTACTTATTCTTCAGTTGAAGTATTTCATGTGATTGTGAACATACACATACATTTTAAAATGCTATATGTTTTGACAATTTTATATATCAAATAGCATTATTATCTCAAATCAACCTGAACTGATTTGGAGAACATCAGGTAGGGGAAGTCTGCTCTATAGAATCAATCCATAAGTCCTACTCCTGTAAATATAACTAGGATTTTTTAGGTATTTCAACCCTTCTGATTTTAAATAAAACTTTCCCTGTCTTTTTAAAATAATCTAAGATTGCTTGTTCAGAGAATGTCATCCATAGAGGTTCTTCAGAGTGTTGTTATTTAAAAATCTGTAATGAGAAGGAAATTCCAATATAAATGTGGAAATAATTTTCAGCTTTTATTAAAATCCAGGTTGTTCATTTAGTGGACAGTTTTAAAAAGCTTGACAAAGAGTCTATGTTCTCTATTTTCAATAAAAGGCCCTAAGATTATTCAACATATGTCAGGTGACAGAGGGAAGTAAGGAAACCATTGGAAGAAATAAATTGCATTTTAACTGATGCTAAATTTGACAGAAGATCGTCTTCTTAATTTTCTGTGGTGTTGGTCTTACAGTACTTAACCTGCTTAAGAAACCATGTCTCCATTGTGTGACTTTAGAGCAGTTAAACCAATGATATTCAGAGGGACAATGATGCATAAGGGGCATCATCAATACCTTTGATGTCACGGAGGAGCTTGCAAGCATACGGCCAAGCACCAAATGCACTTAGTAATAGGGCCAATGTTGGCCATATTTCCAGCCCATTATATTCTCTCTCGCTACCAGAGCAGCCTATAGGACTTTCTGAAGTATCCTGATTTTAGATCCTCATTTGTCCCTTTAGCATTCCGGTTTCTAGTATTTGTAAACATGTGTGTTACCCTTTTTTAATAAAAAAAATAATAATGATCTGTGTACTGCTTTGAACATAATGTATGCATGTTTATGCAATTGCATTTTCTTGATTTTTATTTTATATTTTCTCCACATTGCTATTGTGTTTCTAGTTCATACAAACACCTGTCCTGAAATTGTGCAGGGTAATCTGATGCTCCCCCTTCTGTATCATATGTTTTCTCTTGTTTATTGAGTTATGTTCTGCCATACCTCAGATATGACAGCCATTTAATAATCCTGATGCTGTAGCTCTGCAGGGGCTAAAAAGATCCCAGCAGGCTTGTTAACTTCTGCTCTGAAACATTATGGGAAATATTTTCCTGTCCTTAAAATCCATGGGCTTCTGATTAATTTATTTTAAGGCTGTAAAAATCCATAACCAGGTATGTGGGAAGTATATTGAATTGCTCTTTCCATCCAGTTATTTAAGTTCTCTTTCCACATTCCCAGGTTTTTCCTAGCCATTTAACTGCTTCTACAGTATGTTATAAAGTAACTTTGATCAGTATGATTACATCTACAAATCTTCACTGAAAAGTCCACAACAAATGTTTAACTTTTTTTTTTAAAGAAAAGTGTTAAGTATCATTCCTGTCTCAGGAGAAATACAGTCTACACATTTTTATAAATATATACGCTTGTTCTTGTTTAGATACAAGGAATGAAGAAGATCAAATACAAAGTTATTCCAAATGGAATATGAATCATATTTCAGATACAGTGAAAGGGAAACTGAGTCAGTGTTTAAGGGGAAAGAGCACTGGAAAAAGTTTTCAATAGTAATACCTATCCCACCCCCACCTTTTTTTTTTGGAGAAAAAAGCTGAAGAAGTGTGGTTTCAGCATTTCTGGTAATAAATTACTGTGGGTAAGAAATAATGGGAAACACGAGAAACTGTTGATATGTTATATCAGGCAATTATAGTGTACTATTTGTCTAAAAAACTCATCTCAAATGAAAATCTACTATAGAATAAATTCTAGGGGTTATTTAAATGCATGTCAGACAGCATGTTTTCCACATGCTGCTCAATTAGCCAGCCTTTTTATCAACTCAGTATTTCACATTGTAATAGATTTTGGGAGCCTGGTTCACAGATCAATCAACAAGTGATGAACACACATTTTTGAACTAGATCAGTGATGGTGAACCTTTTAGAGACCGAGTGCCCAAAACCCGCCCTCTGCCTCCCACCTTGCCTGCTCCGTCCCTGCCCGCCCCTTGCTCCGCCCGACCACAGGGCCATGCACTGCCTCAATGGCCCGCCGTAGCAGATCACCCAGGCAGCCCTGCAGCGTCATGGCAGCCATGCCCTCCGCCCACACCCGCAGTGTCATCTGCATGCTATGGAACGTGAGGGCGGAATCTTCTTCCTGCTGCCCGGCTATGTCCTTGGCTGCGCTACTCCATGCAGGCCGCGCCTGGGGGGTGACTCTCCTCCAGGGGGGCTACTGGAGACGAGGGGCCGCAGGGGGAGGCAGGCCTGGGGCAATGGCGCGCGTGCCCACAGAGAGGGCCCCGAATGCCACCTCTGGCACACATGCCATAGGTTCACCATCACTGAACTAGATCAAACTGTGTAAGTAAGTGATGAAAAATTGAATAGGGTCACTCTGTAAGGTCCATTGCTATGCATGATACAGTATTTGATCCCTAGATGAGTTTTGCAAAACTTCCCTTTGTATTTTCAGCTATGGTAATTATGAACATGCTCTATAAAAAAAATGAAGTTGAGGTAATGAAATGTTTTGTCAGTTACTGTAATCACGTGATCTTAATATATGATTACGCTGTAATCATGTGAACTTAATATATGATTCTGATGAACCTGAAAGCTTGGTCACCATTTTGTGTCATTTGAATGATTGTACTCAAGATCCTGTTGTAATTTGGATGCTGGAATTTTTCTCAAGGCCCAACTTTTCTGGCTTTAGTTTTATGTATTTTGGGCATGTTCATACTGCTCAGGAGGAAAAATAGTGTTACATTTATATGGGGGAAGCTGATGATGTTGCCACTGCTCTCCAAAGCAAAATTACTTCCATTCAAAACTGAAAGGAGGTGTGAGGGAAGAAGGTGATATGGAATTTCATCCCATGTTGCTTTTTGAAGAGCAGCAAAAATAACCTGAATTAGGATTTTATGTATTGTCTGTAATATGGTCTGATTAATGTTTCCTCTCTCTGTGTAATAATGTAATGATTAAGGTGCTGAATTAGGAATAGAGAAATGTAGGTTCTACTCAGTGATGGGATTCAAATATGTGAACAACCGGTTCTTTGTGTGGATGCTGCTTCCGGAAGTCCATTCTGGGCCTGGGCAACAAAAATTAGCTACCAGTTCTGGCAAAGTGGTGCAAATCGGCTGAATCCCACCACTGGTTCTAATCCTTCCTTGAACATGGATAACTGAGATGTAGCTGACTTTGTGCCAGTCAGTTTGTCAGACTAGGAAGTCAAAAAAACATCTACCTATCAATACACATGTGACAAACATGGTAGACTATAAACGGAGCTTCATCTAAGTTGATTGATTTGAGATGACAATGATGCTGATGACAATGATAATAAATGTACACACACACACACAAAACCTCCCCCACACACATACTATTGTAGGGACAATTGAAGGTAGGAAATAATACATAAAATGTTAAACAAATTAAAACTCTATTATAAAAGGGAATAATGATAATAGTTGTAAAGACATCAATACTGTAGATGCTGTCTCATGAATTTTGGAAAGCACGCAGGAGAACTGAAGGATAACCAAAAATCCACAGTTAAAATGCTTGGAGCATAACTTTATTACCAAAGACTTCGATCTTTGCAGCAAAATTGAGGCTTGAGCTGCTGAGGATAACTGTGGAATCACAACATGAGCCTGTGGGATTTAACCGGGAAATAGACTTCTGCCACAACTAAATTTCCATAGAGGCAAGTTATGGTACACCAAGAGCCGCAATAACTAGGAGCGAATAAGAAACAGGCAGCCTGGTACAAGAATACAATCTGTTTTCTCATGAAAGAAAGGTGAAAGAGATACTGAGAACAATCAGAAAAAAATAATTTAACATAAACTAGGAAGTTGCTGTTATTAACTCTTATATACTATGTGGAGTGGGTTCTGTTAGAGAATAGAAGATTAAAAAAAGGAGCGATCTTAACAAGATCTGTTTTCTGTGGTTTTCAAATAAATTCAGATGCATCTTTTTATGAAGCGATATATTAAAATTTAAGTACTAGGTGGCATACACACATTTAAATAAATAGGGAAGCAAGTGAATTTAGTACTGAGACTGTATGAACCAAGACTGAAAAGCTAAGGCTTATGCAAGGATTTTGAACACTTTTCTCCAAATATAAATCCCAGTGACTTTTCTCAAATTACTTTAAAAATTCAAGCGTGATTTCTAAAAAGAAGGGATGTTGCATGAGAAAAAAAAAATCAAAGTGTCTTAGGCTCTTAGTAGATTATTTTTCTGGAAGCTGAAGTTAAGCTCAAACATTTGACAGTAACATTCCTTGCCTTCTCTTCCTCCACCCCTTGTTTGCAGGTAACATTTGAAGCTGCTGTAGAATGTATGAGTGAAAAGCAAGGATAGGAAGATTCTAATCATAGTCATAGAATAAGGAAATACCTGTTTCAAAAGAAGAAGTAAAAGGTGTCAGAAACTGCAAAGATTTTTTTAAAAAAATGCTCATTCCAAGGATGTGAATGGAGACCAGAAGCCTATTACAAGAATTATCAGCAGTGAACAGAAGAAAAAGTCAATATTTATTACTATACAGCTAGTCTTTGCTTATTGACTGCCTCATTTAGTGACCATTTTCAGTTATGATGTGATGAAAAAATAACTTAATGACCAATCCTTGCCTTTACAACCTTCACAGGTTTCGAAAGCAAAGGAAAGCTGAAGTAAAATTGTAAGCACAATCATGGTTTCACCTAAAGATCACTTAACAACTGAGTTGAATCACTAAATGAGAATCGCCTGTACTTTACATTCAGGTTACATCACTGAGCCAACTCCTTGATAGCAGTAATGGTAAGTATAGAACTGTTTAGGAAGGTTGTTCAACTTCGGGTCAAACTTGATATGATAACTGACATATTAGTAGAAAGCAGAAATGAGTTTCTTTAATCTAGATGCAGGGAGAAAATAGGTTTTTAATAGACCTTCATGTAATTTACAAAGGTTTAAATTGTCCTTATCTTGCCAGGAGCCTTAGGAAAATCCTTTCCCAAATCTTAATGTTAAACTGGTTGCAATTTCCATCTAAAAACTGTCTTTAACTCAGTAACTTCAAGCAGCCAGATTGCCTGCTGCTCAATCTAGTTATGTGGTTACTTAGTTTGATCAGGATCATCTGAAAGTGCTGATTCGTATCTCTTTACTAAGATTAAAATATTTCTTTGCTGCTAACTGATATCCTGGAGACAACATGAATAAAGGTTCTTTGTCTATGTGTACGTGGCCAGCTGCTGTACAGCTGAATACAGAGTAAACAGGTGGCCACTCAGGTGTGAGCAGCATGTGTCTGAGGGCCCAATTGACACATGAATGTCTTTTAAGGTAAAAGAGGATAAAATGCATGTAAGTGTGTTCGCTTGTTTGTTTGTATACTCGGTACTCTTGGGCATTCATGCTGGAGTATCACACTTTTCATAGAACTCTATCTTTTAAGAAGATGGTATTTAAAGTATATCCTGTCTTCTTAGTTAAAGAGGTTGGATGTTCTTATAAGCAATACATCTGATTTAGAGAATTTAGACAACTTAAATTCTATGTACCTGGTTTTTGCAGTGAGTGAAAGATCTTTTTTAGTGTTTGATAATGTTGTCCTGTCTGATTAGAGGGCTTTAGAAATGTAACTGAGAGGCAGAATTATTATTGTAAAAAAATCCCATCCTGATCCAAACCCCTGCAAAAGAAAAGCTTCAAGATAACTTGATCATGTTGAAGGAGAAGGAGGAAAATATACATTCTTTAGTATGTGATAGGTTTGTTTTTAGTGGTGCAAGGCAAAAACAAAACAAAACACAAAACCAGTTGGAATTAGATACTCAGTAATATTTGCATTTTTACCTCATCTTTCTATTTATGTAAACTAGTAAGACTATATGATGGAGGAATTTAAATCCAGCCTTTATGGAGCAATATTTTTTTAAAAAAAAATCTAAATAAAATAAATAAATAAAAATAATTTTGCCATACTACCTTTTAGGAATAGCTGTAACCAGTGCTTTTTTTGTAAAAACAAAAGGTGCTGGAACTCACACATGTCATACAATCCGCCTTGCCTACCCTACAAGGTTCCATCCAAAAAAGTGTCGGAACTCCGTTCTGGGTGTTCTATGAGGAAAAAAGCCCTGGCTATAACTAAACACAGTTATCAATCTTTTTTCAGGATCATTAATCTATAGAGGATAGTTACAGGGGACGCATTGGCTAAGTCTTAGTCAAGACAAAGCAGGTTCACCAAACCAATTTCCTAAGGGGGTGGGAACAGTTTCTAGGAGGGAAATTTAAAATGAGCAATCAGTATCTTAGATGTCTTGGGAAGACACTTTCCTGGTGATTTCAACAATAACTGTTTAATTTAAGGCTGTCCTAGAGGATCAGCCAAGACAGATGGATTCATATAGCTGTGAGGCTGACAATGTCTGGCTAAGTCCTTTGTTTAGAGAAATGGTCTAGAAAAGAGAGAGAGGCTGGTTTTGTTAAGTTTTTTAGATGCTAAAATATTTCTTCTTTCTGATAAAGATATGGAGAAAAAAAGATACAGGCCTGGTTTAGTAGTTTTCCTGGTTTATGGATCAGTCATGGACAGCCTAAGAGTTCTGTATTCTCTTTGTCTCTCTTTTCTTCCTCCTTCAAACTATAATAGATTGGAGGGTTCTACTTCTATTTATTATTGTATTTTGGTACAACTATTGACTGCAATAAAGAAATTAAAAACAAAAATATTAAGATTTATTTATTTGGCTTAGAATCCCTGTCTCTATTCTCATGAATAAAAATAGACTTTTAATTAATTAAAAGCTACTCTGAAGATGTATATTTAAAAGACTTTTTTTAAGTGAATAAGAGGTTAGAACTCTTTAAATCAATGTTTTAAATCCATGTAATACCTCATCTTAAAGAGTTGTTCTTCGATTAGGCAATAGGATCAAGTCAGGTTCAAAGCTTGATTGCTGAGTTTGAGCGGGCTTGAGTCACAGTTTTACAGTACTTTCAGTTGGGCGTAATGGGACTAGCCTTTAATATCTGTGGTGTCTGACAGGGTTCCATCTTGTTCTCTAACCTCTCCTCATCTACATGAACTCACTGAGGGAAATCAACCTGAGTTTTGGAATGGGGTGTCATCAGCATAGAACAGAGTTCCCCAACCCTTCTGGTTTTGCGGACTGGCAGGGGGGAGAGAAGATGGTTCCACGCTAGCAGTGATATGCATGCGCATGTGCTCATGTGTTATTTCCACAGACGGGTTCCAAATGGCTCACGGCCTGGTAGTGGGTTGCGGCCCCGGGGTTGGGGACTCCTGGCATAGAACATTACTGATGACAGTTCTATTATGCTTCATTATCTATTTCCAGAGAAGCAGTACCCTTGAATGTTTCCTGAATATATTATGAAGGAGGAGTTTCTGAAATTAGAAGAGATTGATGTCCAGTTTATTTTGGAAGAACACACTCAAATTCTGGTAGTGTTCCTTATGAATCAGTGGATTCAAGAGTGGTGATTATGGTGAGAAGCAACTATGTACAATGATAACTGATGTATCATCTATTTCCTTTCTTCAGCAGGTTTCATTTGGCATTGGTTATCCAGGTTTTGTTTGCATTTCATCGTGATTGCTGCACTGTATTACTAGGGGTATTGTTGAAAAGGTCCAGGATTATACCACAATATCTGTACTGGTTCCTAGTTATTAAAGGTCAATTTAAGGAGTTAATATTAATCTTGAAACTAGTTTAAAGTAGTTTAGGACGTGAATTCTAGAGGATAGAATTGTAATTATAAAATAGTCCAATTAAGATCTGTAGGAAAGACTCCTTTGAAGATACTTCTGCTGTCTGATTATTCTTTCTGGCATGTAGGTGAAGAGTTGTATTTGAAAGAGAAATCTGCTAAGATTCATCTCTTTCTTTGGGCCTTTAAACACTTGATGGAGTAGAAATTTTTAGTATAGAAGAGAGATAAATAAATCTGAATATGAAATTTACGGGAAGTTCATATATTGAAAATTATCCCATTCTCTGCTTTTAATGCGATTGTCTGAAATGAATGTTGGCTGAACATTGAACTTAATGAATTACAGATGAGGAACTGATCCAAAATTCTTTGATATGCGATAGTAATCTAATGTTATTTTGAGATTTTTATTCAGATTTATGCATCTTGTAAAACTCCTGTTTTCTTTTTGTTCCCCTCCCCCCATGTGTTTTAAATAAATAAATAAATAGACATTAGAACTCAGCAGGAACAATTGTTCTGGCCTCCAATTTGACCAGGAAAGGAAATCTTAGGGAAGAAATAATATAATTTGATTGAGTGTTTAGGTATGCTAGAATCACTTCATCCTCCTATATATTGTCTGCCTTTTTATTTTATCCGCAGTTCAGAATGGCAAAAGATTCAAGTGAGTGTAAAGGTGTTCCATTGTAGGTTTTCCTGAAAACCTGGTGTATGACTCTGTTTATATTGATGGATATAAATATATGTAGGTCTTTGGTTATTCGGGTTTTCTCCCACGTCAAATTGGAAGTGTCTTCGCGATGTTTCAACGAAGTCCTATTCGTCATCTTCAGGCTGGTGTTTTCGGCTTCGTGCTTCTAGGAACAATGTGTGATCCTAGCTGTTTCTTGCTTTTAACTGCTAGTGGGGATATGAACTGATTGGATGGGAGCTTGGCTGTGTTCTGATTGGGTGGAGGTGTGTTCTGATTGGTTAGGGGTTTGGCTGTGCTCTGATTGGATGGGGGGTTGGCTGTGCTCTGATTAGATGGGGGAGTGTTCTGTTTGGGTGGAGGCTTTGTTGTGCTCGGGTTAGTCTGAGTTGCAGGGGGATTTAAGATGGTGAGCTGCATTGCCGTTGTTTGGCTTCGCGTTCGTGGTCGTGCCTCATCTTCATGGTGGGTGTCATTTTGCTTCATGTATGGATTGGAGAGGTTTAAAGTGACTAATGATGCAGCTGTGGTCTGGCTTCTGGTTTGTGGTCATGCCTCATCATCGGTGTGGGTTTGGGTTTGCTTTTTGCGTGGATGTATGGTGGTGACATCTTGTGTGGTTTTCGTGAGTGTGGGTCTGGTATTCTTTGTGTTAGGGACTCGTTTGTCAAGGGCGGGTTTCCAAATGGCTGGTAGGCGGGAGGTATGTGTATAAATATATACACATATACCAACTTACACAATTTGCTTTGGAATGCATGCTATAAATTGTGGTCACACGTTCTGCCAACAATTGATTAGCTTAACTATCAAATGCATTGGTACCTCAGTACTCAACTGCTTCAAATTTCATAAAATTGGTACTCTGCACATGTTGTCCTGGTATTTGTTGTTTGCATGGTACTCGATGCACTACAATAGGAAAAGGGGGAGGGTTGTGGAGAATGGACAGGAAGTTGGCCATACTGAGAAGGTCGCTACAAAAGTAAGAGGAGGATAGCCACAGAGAGCGGACAGGAAGTCGGCCATGCTGGAAAGTGATTGACATAGAAAAAGGAACAGACAGGAAGTCTTTCCTGGCTAAAACAAAGGGTCATGTGGTAAGTCATTGTCACTCATTTTTAGTACTCGTCGCGCCTCCCAGAACCAATTAATAATACGTTCTGAGGTACCACTGTATTTTTTTGAAAGTACAGTAACTTACTTATCTACTAAAAATTTATTTGTTCAAAAAACAAGATTTGTTTCAGGCAGATGTATACTGATTTCTAATAATTTCTAGTAATCACTGTTTTGCTGTAATAAAAAATGGTGAGATACTTACAGATCAATCTTTTTATCTATATAATTTTTCTTGACTACTCTTTCATCCCCTTTACATTTTGTCTGTCATTCTTACTAGATCAAATATTTTTCAGGTATTTTTTTCACTTTGCAAATAGTTTCCACATTGTTTCTGTATATGCTGAAAACTGTTCCAGGAAGTTGGCTTTGTGCCTGATTAATGTGTTAGATCAGTCAGGGCTATACAAATCCAGTTTGTGACAGAAAGCCAAGAACAGGTACGGAATTGGTGCAAGAAGACTGTGTATATGTCAAACAACATAAAGTTTGTTTCCATAGCACGTTCTCTGACAGCATAGTTATTTATATAGTATGTAGTAGGAATATTTCTAATCCACTCAATATCACAGATTTCTGCAAAGATGACAAAATTATTTAAAACTCTGAACATTAAAATCTGTAAAATAATAAAAAGAATTAATGACACAGGGAAGATTTTATACTTTGGGTAATAGAACAGTACTATAGAACCAACCTGCCTTAGGACTTTGTTAACAGAAGCAACTAGACTTTAGACTTTTTGAGAAAAAAAAGTTAGCTTAAGTCAGTGTTTCTCAACCTTGACAATTTTAAGGCATGTGGACTTCAACTCCCAGAATTCTGGGAGTTGGAGTCCACATGCCTTAAAATTGTCAAGGTTGAGAAACACTGGCTTAAGTTCAAGTGAATGAGGCTTGTGCTAGTTACAGAACTATTTATTTTGAGTATGAGTACCTTTGTATTGAATAGAATATTTAATAACTCTACATGGCACACATTCACAATAAATGTAATATGTTCGGGGAATGGAGCTAACCCTGACCCCCAAATCTGATAACTTTAGAAAAGTTAGATGCTAACAGCTTTTCATTTCAGTTAGCACTGTATTTGTTATTATTAATAAGTGCTAAAGAAAAAAGTCACCTGACTTTCTCCATCTCTCCTTGAATTTGAACTTCTTAAGATGGAAGGCTATTTATATTGGTAACAAATATAAGTTAGTCTAGTTTTTTCCAGCTTCACATCCATTCTATTAAAAAAAAATGTATGTCACAATGCAAATTTCATCCTGCTGGGACATCTCAGGCAAGTGTCTAATGGGAGAGTTTGCTTTATAAACGTTACAATGCCACGTTTAGTCCCATGCAATAAAACTATATCTCCCCAAGTTCTCAGCCAGCAATTCAGCCATCCATCTAGGAAGTCTGGGAATTGCAATCTGAACAAATTTGGAGAATTTGTTTGGGAAAGCTGTATTTTCCTCTACAAGGGGATTTGTTTTAGAATTATTTGGATTTGTCTGGGGGAAAGGGTGAGCGAAGCAGAAAGGAAAGAACAGAAATTTAGCTGTGAGCTAACTTTCTTGGGGACAGATTAGCTAATTCTCTAAAAGATTTTAAACAAGGCCAAATTTGAGATCGTGGCATAGGGAAAAAAATATTGATTCTCACATGCTATTTATGTAATTAGAGTATTTCCTCTCAAAGCTGCTATCTATCCTGAAACTTTCTAGGGATATAAGCTTTCCCCTGCATGGCAAACAGTAACTCGAGGAAATTTATTGTAAGGAGAAAAGTCAGAGATTGTTCTACATTGGGGTGGTTCCCAGTTTAATCATACACATACAGATGCACCTCTGACGCATGCACACAATAGCTGCTATATAAAGGGAGAAAAGCAAGACAGATCAAATTACTTCTCTGCAATGGCAATGAATGTATACCTCATACTGATTTCCAAATAAAATAGGCAAATGCAAAGAGCTTTTATTTTTCTTTTACAGTTTCTGTATACTTGCAGAAATCGAGAAAAAAGTGTCTTATGTCTGCGTTGATAGACATTGGCTTATTCATAAAACAAGTGGAATTCTATTGTATTGTTGAAAAGAAACTAAAAGTAGTTCTTGACTTACAACCATTCGTTTAGTGACCATCTGAAGTTTCAGCAGTTTTGAAAAAAGTGACTGATGACCATTTTTCACATTTAATGACTGTTGCAGAATCCCCACGGTCACATGATCAAAATTTGGCCACTTGGCAACTGGTTCATATTTGTAACGGTTGCAGCCTCCCAGATTCATGTGTTCACCTTTTGCGACCTTTTGACAAGCAAAGTCGATGGAGAACACCAGATTTACTTAACAACCGTGTTACTAACATAACAATTACAGTGATTCACTTAACAACTGTGACAAGAAAGGCTGTAAAATGGGGCCAAACTCACTTCACAAATGTCTTGCTTAGCAAGAGAAAATTTGGGCTCAATTGTGGTTGTACTGTAAGTTGAGAACTACCTGTAAAAATCAACTGATTTCACAAAATATACTGTGTTTTGAAATATCACAGCTCCACTGGGAATTATGTACAACTTTAGTTGCAGTTTTGCAAGTTGCTGTGATAACAGGCAAATTGTTTTCTGCCCTACTGGGATGTGTATTGTTTGTGATATCTTTTGCTATGTTCAGTATTCTTGTCTATAGTGAAGGTGCAAATGGAGTTTCAGGTGGTTTTACCATGCAGTGTTAAGATGGATTGCTAAAATGAACTGAATGAAGATAGGATGAGGTTGATCACATGAACTTGTGGGCTGCATGTGAAAGCTAATTATGGTGCCAAGTTTTTTTTAATAATATTTTTGTATTGTAATTAGCTCTTTTATCTTTTGGTTGTGAACCGCCCAGAATTTCATATAAGATGGATGCCTATAAATAAATAAAATGCAGAAAACTCTCAACTCACTTCAGTGATCTGATATA